AGACTAATCAAAAAGTTTCCTTGGTGAAATATATAAGGTTGGAGTGTTACACAGCTCATAGTAAATGTCTGAATCGCTGTTCATTTTTGTAGTTTTTATCCTACAATCTTTAAATAAAAAGTATATTATATACAAAATCAAAACATAATATAATACAAAACATTAAAACATATAAATAAAGTCAAAAATTTAATATGGCATAGTAAATATAATATATTACTTTAAGACAATATGCAATTTCATAAATAATAGCTACATTACTTTTCTTTGTTAAAATCAATTTACCATTATATGTATAATTCTATATAATTATAAATATTTATAATTGTTAACAGAAACAAATATTTCTTATTGTTTAAAACAATTAAATAAAATCATTCGAACATTAATTCTTAAGTAATAATAAAAATAAAATGTCAATTATAAAAGTTTTATATGCAACTACCATCCATAAGTATTTGCCTGTACAGTAAATTAAAAAAAAGATATCGCAAAAACAACACTGAGAAAAATTTTCATCGGATAAACCAATTAAATAGTATGTCCAATGGTTAATTTTTCCGATTACGTTTTCCGATTAAATTATGGATATATCCGATGAAATTTATCCGATGAAATGCAATTACCGATGAAATTTGATTGAAAAACCGATCAAATTTTTCATCGGATATACAATTTAATCGGATATATCCGTTTGTTATCATGTAATTGGATTATCCGATTATATTTAATCGGACATTTTTCTCAGTGAACATATTTTAATAAAAATACCTTTTATTAAAATACTTTTTCATTCTTTTGTTAATGTAAGGAAATTATTAAAGATACCTTGCAATAACACAATCGCTGTAAATTAAGAAGAAAAGGTGGAAAAAATACTTATGGACAATAGTGTAAGTAAAAATATACACGAACATTGCAAGTTTGATAAAGAATGCTAAGATAAATTTACAAAAAATTTATTTATAACAAAACTATTAAAAAATGTATTCATAATATCATTATGTGAGAAATTCGACAAATATTTCACTTTAATAAAATTTTTGCCACAAATAAAAAGCTAATTACTCGATATTCTTGATAAGATAAAAGATTTAAAATTTGAATACGTATATTTATTAATATCAAAAATTATATATTAAGTATTCTAATATAAATAATTCTATTCAATTAAATTTATATGATTTTTATAACTTACCGTTTATTTTAAATTACAATGATATGATAAACCATATAATACAATTCAGTTTTTCAATTTTATAAGTTTTCTTGCGAAGGTAGTGATCAGATAAAGCCGTTTTTTGGTGGTTAGAATGTAGAGCAGCTTTGGATAAGAAAGCACGCAATCATTAGAAGACGAGAGAAGCCATTAAAGTCACGCACGAAAAAAAACATACGATACATGTAAAATCAATACTTGAATATATTGAAGTTATGTCTCCGTTTTTCCGCGATGCTGATTGGTTTTTTTTAATCTCGAATTGATCTCGAATAATCGAGTTTGTGGTTATCATACGAATTTTGACAGCTTATGTGATATTTTAAAAGTTAGTAATAGTTTAAAAATTAAAGAAGACAAGAAAGGGAGAAGGTGAAAGAAGGAGAGACAAAAAGAAAAAGGTATGTATAATATATATTGCGTGTATGCGTGTATGTGTGTGTTAATACCATGTGTATTGAGTTTTGTATGAGTAGGAGAAAAAAAGGCAAAGAGAAAAAGGTATGCATGTTTATTGTACATTCAAAGAGAGCGGTCAAACTCTCATAAGCTTTTAGTATCATTTTGTAAATTTAAATTAAAAATTTTTCTTATAAAATTGTAATTATTAATTTATAGATTCAAAATAATATATTTTGTATGCATGGATATTATTATGTATATAAAATATAAATATATAAAATATAAAAGCAAATATTTATTTTTAGATATTTCTGATAAAAAGAAGGAAAGAGAGAAGGAGAAAAAAGGAAGAAAGTTATTTAGGAAGATAAAGACAAGAGAGAAAGAAGACAAAGAGGAAAAGGTATGCATGTTTAATTCTTGTCGTGTTCTTGAATATAAAAGATTAAGATAAGATTACCAAAAACTGAATGTTTTACAAGATATTTTGTATTTTGTGTCAAAATACTAGAACTTTCAAACCTTATAACTAGAAAAGTACTTAATAAAAAAATAATTCAATTCGTGACGGATGTCTTATTGTTAGTTAACTCGACCACTGAGGCATATGATAATATTCTTTGCAATAACCGGTAAACATCTTTTTCAGGTGACGTGAATAAACAATATTAATTGCAAGTGAGATAGAACCGCGAAGGATCAACCAATCAATTAATTAATTGAGGGTGGTCCCAGATTTGATCCCTGGCTGAGGTAATGTTTCTCAAAATAAATTCTTTACAGTATTTAAATTTAAATTTAAATTTAATAGATGCTTATGAGCATCAAATATTAAATAGATTAATCGATTTAAATATGTGAATTTACTGTCTCATCCAAAAAGTTGTGTTTTAAGACCGACAAATAATCAACACACAGTTAGGAGTTAGTAAAAGTATATAAAATTATTAAGCTACTGAGAGTGTAATTTAAAAAGATTCTAATTAAAAAGTCTGACCGCAAATGACATTGAAGAGGTCCCATTTACCTACATTCCCGATTGCCAACAGCTTCGTTTGCCCACAATATTTTGTCGACAGCTTTATTTGCCGACATTTCCGATTGCCTACAAAACGACACATTGCGCATATACACATTGCACATATACATATTGCACATATAGCCGTACACATAAAATTAATATTTCTGAAATATTTCAGTGAAACGGGTCATAAATGATTTTAATGAAACGTTTCAGAAATATTTCTGAATGATTTCTATATTACATTTCAATATTAATTTCCAAGTTATATTTTAAATAGCTTTCAATAATATATGTTTTAGAGATTACGTACGAAATATTTCTCTGAAATATTTAATATCTGATAGTTAAAAAGCATATGTTACGTGTTACGTATACTATACTTTTTAACCATCAGGTAAGCTACCTAACACTTAGAACAATCGGCCTTAAGAAATTTGCAGCTTTCCTGAAATATTGCTAAAAAGTTACTAAAATCTTTTTGAAATAATAATAATACTGAAGACTAATTGAAATATTTGTGTTAACGTTTTTTATAATATTTTGCGCAAGCTGATTAATAAACTCTTATTAAAATAAATTTTAAATGCTTTAGAAATTTTATTTTATCATATTAAGTTATTTTAAGTGTTTTTTAAATGTTTTTCCGCAACGGATGGTTCTTTATCGCAGGTTTCTTATCAACTCTGTTAGCTTTACATTAAGCGACTGTTTGTACCCATACAGCACAAATTGTTACAGAAAGGTTTCAGAAAGATTTCAAAATTATTTCAATATTTTGAAATTTTAAAAGATGACGCAGTAGTCAATCATTGCTTTATTTCAACGTTCCATATATGTGACTCAAAAAACGAGAAAAATCTTTTTGTAATATTCACATTACTTTTTCAAATTTATTGCATATGATAGATTTCTGAAACATTTCTGTTGCATCATTTCATATGACATGTTGCAGAATTCTGTCAGAAATGTTGAGCATGAAATGTGAAATATTGAAATAATTTTTAAATCTTTCTGAAACCTTTCTGTAACAATTTGTGCTGTATGGGATGTACGCCCCTGTTTAAAATAATAAATAGAAGATGATCAGATTACATTAGATTACATGCAATTTCAATGTAAATAAATAAGAGTCTTATTAATTTACATTGAAATTGCATGTAACGTAATGTAATCTGATCATGTTCCATCTAATATTTTTAGCAGGAATTGTCGGCAAAATGTTGTGGACAAAACTGTTGGCAATTGGGAATGTAGACAAACAAAGCTTTTTTAATAGCATTTCTAATTAATTGATATAATACAAATATTAAACTAATAAAAATAATATTTTGTTTCAGATTTGCGAGTCATTTATATTCTCCGGCCAAGACCAAGATGTACTTAATTATTTGACAATTTGACATAGTTGTAAACTTTAGATAAAATAATTTGACATTATTAAAAATTTGACATTCTAAGTAATGTTTGATATTATTGTCGAAAATTTGACATTACAAGTTATAAATATTAAACATTTTAATATTTGGTATTTGTATGATTTTATTCAACTGTAATAAATTTACATTTGTGCATTCTGCTGAACAAAAGAAAAATTTTATTTAATAAATAAGATTAAGCAATAATTGAAAATGGGTAGACGAAAAGCTGTTCGTACTGTAGAGGAAGAGGAAGAATTTCAGCGACTGAAAAGAGAACGAAAGGCTATAAATCAACAAAAATATCGTGAAAAAAATAAAGAAAATGCAGCAAACAATGTAGCTGGGCCATCTAAAATTTGTAAATCACAGAGCAATAGTACTTTGACAACTCCGAATTCAAAACTTGATAACAATAATGTTAATATAATAAAGAGACTGTTAACTACCAACGAAGTATTTGCGAGTGTCGTTGAAAATACTACAAAAACAAGTCAGTCAATTTCAGTGAATGTAAATGATAATTTTTCCAAAGCTGATAATGAACAATTATTGCCAACACACAATATTAAAGATTCAATCAAAAGAAAAGTACAAAATTTTCGAGCCAATTACAAAGGATTTCAAAACATAAACTATCATAATTTGAATCAACATTATATAGGAAAAATGGATGAAGAATGCCAACATTGTAGAGCAAAGCATTTTCACGCTGAAAAAGTTCACAATAAAGGTAATTCATTCAATGATTGTTGTAGTCATGGAAAAGTTATATTGGAACCTCTACCATCACTTCCTAATGAACTACAACAATTATTTTCTGGAAATCATCAGAAATCCAAAAATTTTTTAGAAAATATACGAGGTTATAATAGTGTTTTTTCTTTTGCATCTTTCAATACTAATTTGGTTAATTTTAATGCACAAAGACGAGGACCTTATTGTTTCAAAATTCAAGGTCAAATTTATTATCAAATTAACACTGCATTATACCCTGCTGCAAACAAACAGTCAAGTTATGGACAGCTTTTTATTCTTGACGCTAACGAAGCTACAGAATGTCGTTTAAACGTAAATTCAAATCTCGATAAAGAGTTATTACATACGTTAGATAATATTATCCGTAGCAACAATATATTTGCTCAGTCATATCAAATGATGCACGAAGAAATTCGTGATCTAGAAAATTTAGGTTTAAATGTACCTGACTTAAAAATGGGATTTTTAAATAAAAAAACAGGTATTGATCGCGGAAGATATAATGTTCAAAGAACTAACGAAGTTGCTGCAATTTTTTCAACTACCGCAGATGGAGATATTCCTGATTGTTATGTTACAATTAGAAACAAACGTAATAAAACTTTAAAATATGTTAGTACAATGGATCCAAACGTTGAACCTTGGATTTATCCAATGTATTATCCGCATGGTACGCAAGGTTGGTGCGATGATATTAAACAAATCAACGGAAAACGTGTGACTAGATCCATGTACGTTCAATACCGAATAGCTGTACGAGATAATTTCAATGTTTATTTAATGGGTAAACGACTATTTCAACAATGGCTTGTTGACAGCTATGTAAAAATCGAAAAAGACAGAATTAATTGGTGCAAAGAAAATCAAAAACAGTTGAGAGTGGAAAAACATCAAGGACTGATCGATTATTTAGAAAAAGTAGCGACTAACGCTAATGCTCGTATTGGACGAGTAATGATTCTTCCATCGACATTTATTGGTTCACCTCGAAATATGATGCAAAATTACCAAGATGCGATGGCTATTGTTCGTAAGTATGGTAAACCGGATGTTTTTATTACAATGACGTGCAATCCAAATTGGCTTGAAATTAAAGAAAATTTACTTTCAAATCAACAACCTGCTGATAGACCTGATATTTGTGCTAGAGTTTTTGATATAAAAAAAATTATCTGGTAGATTTAATTGTTCGACAGAAATTTTTCGGTGAGGTAAAAGCATTTGTTTATGTAATCGAATTTCAGAAACGTGGTTTGCCCCACGTACATATGTTAGTAACTTTGAAACAAAATTGCAAAATTAGTAATTCGGAAACTGTTGACAAACCTATTTCCGCTGAAATTCCCGATCCTGCTATTGATAAAAATTTATATGAAATTGTCATGAAAAATATGATTCATGGACCTTGTGGTGATTGGTGCATGGTAAATAGAAAATGTTCAAAACATTTTCCAAAACCCTTTCATGAGGAAACAACTATGGATGAAAATGGTTATCCACAATATCGTCGAAGAAACACTAACATTTCGTATGAAAAACTCAAAGGTTTTGTAGTAGATAATCGATTTGTCGTTCCTTATTGTCCAATATTATTAATGATTTTTAATTGTCATATTAATGTTGAAGTTGTTTCAAGTATTAAGTCGGTGAAATATTTATATAAATATATTTATAAAGGTCACGATGCAGCGTCCGTAGTCATAGGAGAAAATTTGAATAATATAGAGATTGTTCATGATGAAATTAAGGATTTTATAGAAGCACGTTATGTAGGACCAGTTGAGGCTTACTGGCGTATTGCAGGTAAAACATTGCAAGAGAAAAGTCATGCTATTATTCGTTTACCTGTACATTTGCCAAACGAACAAAATGTAATTATCTCTAATAATTTAAACGAAGAAAATTTACGATATGCTTTAGAACGTATAACAATGTTGATGGACTATTTTGATTTAAATAAACGAGATATTGATGCATGCCAGTACGTGTATACAGACATACCTTCATATTATGTATTCAAAAAAGTAACGCTTGACGGAAAACAAGTTAATCGTTGGGAAAAACGTCAATGTAGATTTAATTGCATCGGACGTATGTACTCAGTTAGTCCAACTGAAATCGAGTTATTTCACTTGCGTATTCTTTTATTGAATGTTAAAGGAGCAACAAGTTATAATGAATTAAAAACAGTTAATGGTGAATTGCATCAAACGTTTACTTCTGCATGTTTGGCTTTGGGTTTAATTGAAGATGATAACGAATGGAAACTTGCAATAAACGAAGCTTCTGTCTGGATGATGCCGAAACATCTTAGGCTACTTTTTGTACGAATATTAATGCATTGCCAACCAGTGCACCCAAAAGAATTGTGGGAAGAATTTAAAGTTGCATTGTCTGAAGATTATATACGACGATTTGGACAAGTTACTGGAATAAGAAAAGCTTATGTTCAAATTGATCAATTACTTCGCAAAGAAGGTTGGGAACTTTCGCAATTTCCAGAAATGGAACAAATAACGGCAGAATATGAAAAAGAAGATACGGAACAATTGCAAAGAGAAGCTTTACTCGGTCAGCAACAGTACAGTCAGTTAAATTGTGACCAAAAAAGTATTGTGGATTATGTTTCAACTCTTTTGGAAAAAAACGACAGTCAACAGATAAAATGTTTATACATTGACGGTCCAGGTGGTTCAGGTAAAACTTTCGTTTATACAACACTATACTATTTACTTAAATCTCAAGGCAAAGTTGTTAGTTCAATGGCTTTTACTGGTATCGCTGCAACGTTATTACCAAATGGAAGAACAGTACATAAAACTTTAGGTTTACCCGTACCCCTTTTTGCTGACTCAACATCAAATATAAAAATTCAATCAAAAGAAGCTGACTGTTTGAAAAAAACAGATGTTTTTATTTGGGACGAAGCACCAATGGCACCGCGATATGCCCTTGAAATCATGAATTATCTTTTGCAGGACATAATGCAAAATAATATACCGTTCGGTGGTAAGATTGTTGTTCTTGGTGGGGATTTCAGACAACTATTACCAGTGAAACAAAAAGCTACACGTTCTGAAACGGTAAATTTATCAATTAAATTCAGCTCATTATGGCAACATTTCAAAATCTTTTCATTAACGGAAAATATGCGCATTTTACCACATGAACATGAATTTGCTCACTTTTTATTAGATTTGGGTAATGGTACTTTGAACGATCAGTATAATAATGTTGAAGTCCCACTGAGATGTTTGGCAGATTTAAATGCAGACATAGTAAAAGATACATACGAAGAAATAATTAAACACAATCAGTATAGACTTGCGGCAAAACGTGCCATACTTTCCGCACGAAATGTTGATGTGGACGCAATAAACAAACAAGTTGTGAATTTACTTGAAGAATCAACAGAAAGAATATATACAAGTGTAGACACTGCTGAGACTACTAACGATAATCATGATATTAATGAAGCCATTTTAACAGAGTATTTAAATACTTTAAATCCACCAAACCTTCCACCTCATGAACTTCGATTAAGAAAATATACGGTTATCATGCTGATTAGAAATCTGAACATTAGTGAAGGTTTGTGTAATGGAACAAGGTTGTTAATCTTAGAATTAAGAAACAATTTGTTAAAGTGTGAAATTTTAACTGGTGATAAAAAAGGAGAAATAGTGTTTCTGAATCGCATAACTTTATATTGTGAAGATATTTATCCATTTGTGTTTAAAAGAAGACAATTCCCAGTTAAAATAGCTT